GCATTCAGTTCTCATCTCTGGCAAAGTTTTGAATGTCGGCTTAAAAATTTAAGTTTTTAAGAACTGCACGCAGCTGTTCAAAAAGTCAAAACTTTTAACCCAAAAGAACTAGCGAGTTGTAGTTCCGACAACGTACAGATAATACTTTAATCTGAAACTCCTTAGAAACTTATTGGAATCGCATTCAGTTCTCCTCTCTGGCAACGCTTTTAATGTGGGCTTAAAAATGAAAGTTTAAGTAAAACTACTCACAGCAGTTCAAAAAATCGTAACTTTTAACCGTAAAGAAGTAGCAAGTTGCAGTTCGGACAACCTACAGACAACACTTTGATCTGAAACTCCTGAAAAACTCATTGAAACCGCATTCAGTTCTCCTCTCTGGCAACGATTTTCGTGTGGGCTTAGAAATGAAGGTTTTAATGAAACTGCACGCAGTTGTTCGGAAAATCGGAACTTCTAACTCAAAACCAGTAGCGAGTTGCAATTTGGACAATCTACAGACAACACTTTGATCTGAATCTCATGAAAAACTCATTGGAGTCGTATTCAGTTGTCCTCTCTGGCAACGATTTTCGTGTGGGCTTAGAAATGAAGGTTTTAATGAAACTGCACGCAGTTGTTCGGAAAATCGTAACTTTTAACCCAAAACCAGTAGCGAGTTGCATTTTGGACAATCTACAAACAACACTGTGMTCTAAAACTACTGAAAAACTCATTCAAATCGCAKTCAGTTCTCATATTTGGCAACGTCTTGAATGTGGGCTTAAAAATGAAAGTTTTAATGAAACTGCATGCAGCTCTGTTCAGTTGCAAAAATCCTTTAGCAGAAGARATCGTCTGTCTTTCGCAAGTCAGTCCTCGCTAAAATGCCCTACCTTTAAATAAATAGAAGCTAGTTTTTATGTATAATCCATAATTTTCATCAATGTTGTGAAATATCGGACAAGTCATAAGAACTTTTCTTGTAGAGTTTTTTTTAAAGCTATCATTAATTTTTCGAAAAATGTGTTCATCTTTAAAACAGCTGAAAACAATTGGATATTTTAAGGAACCTTTCCAACCTGGACGCTTCAGCTGCTCTTTTACATAAGTGAAGTTTTAGCAAAAATGCCTAAGCTTTAAGAGCCAAGTGCAGCAAACAGAGCTGACTTGTGAGAATTTGGTTGACAATGTCCCACCTAAAAACTGTTCCGATTGCTTTGATCCAAAGAACTTCTTCGAGGAAAGTCTCGGCTACTGCATTTGCATATAAAGAGACAAAACAAGCCACTGATAAAATATGATTTCTCTCAATGTCTATATCGGTGTAAATCGGCAAGGACGTTACTGAGGTTCACATAGTGGGCAGTAATTGTGTTGTAGCCCATAGCAGGTCATTTGTCAGGACCATGAGAACGATTTATAAGGTGTGTCGACAATCTGCTTTCGGGTTAGTTGCTCACGACATGATATTTTGCATTTTGAACGAATTTCCCGCAAACACAAACCGTAGCGGGAAAGTCAAATGAAAATTCACCAGACGTTTGAGCACCGAAACTATTTATTAGAATGTCGTTAACAAAACGGCAATTGTATCGAAAAAACGTGCAAAAGCAAATAAATCATCCTGACAGATCGGAACTTTCGTTGCCGAAAATTCAATTAGCGTACTTGTTGTAAAGAAACGAGAAACTTTTAACTAATAAGTGGGTTGTAACAAACTTGATGAATTGCTATTTTAAGTACGTATTTGTTTTAAAGGAACTTTTACGGGTTAAAGATGATTTAGAGGTTCTGTGAGAAAGAGGCGACTGAGTGAAGTCTCGTTAATAGCCTAATGGTCTTTTAAAAGGCCACACCAAGTGAGGGTTTAAGTTAAATTAAATTTAAGTAATTTTGCATTGGTTCATTGGTAAGTGAAATGGCATTTTGTTTTCCAACTTCCTGGCCTTTGTAGTAAAGAGCGGGTAAACATTAAGATGCAAAAACCTTAACGAGACGCTATTAAAATGCTCCCATTTTGAAAAGAGCTTCAATTTTCTTGCGTTATTAACATCGCCTAACCGTACATTAACTCGATTTTAATTCCCAACGAGAAAATTGAAAACCAGTCGTCAATGCAATGCAGCAAAACTAAACAAAAACGCACATCCGCTCGCATTCTACATCACATCGATCTCCGTAGGAAAAACAATAGAAAATCCTGACATGCTCAAGACAGACATACGAAGAAGAGACATGATCAAAATTTTAAAATGAAATGATGGAATTGAAATTGATCAATTATTGCCAACTTTCACCGAGTGGTTTATTGAAGTAAATTGGTCAAATTCCAGCAGGAGAGTCATAGAGAGAGGCTGAAACTCCCATCATTCATACATTATGCATTTAGTATAACGTGCGTCTTTAGAAGAAGAATTGCATTCAGCCCGAACCGGAACAGTGCGGTTATTGGATTGCAATGTAATAGAATCGAAGCTGCGTGATGAGAATGCTTCTTATTAAGGCCTACGGCCCTTTTATGTCCTTATTCGTGGTTTATCGACGGTTTAGAGCATTTTCTTTTACTTCAGCTTTCTCTTCTTGACTGGAATCTATGCGTAAAAAACCACTAAGAGATACAGATGGGACATTGTGAACTTATCTAGTTGACGAAGAACAAGCACTGTGTATAGTCTGTTCCAAGCTTTTTCCTGTAGCGATTGAAACGAACATTTCGATATTATTAACATATGCCGTTATCAAATTCGACAATTCGCGGAAATATGCAGAAACTCTAAGTTGGAAACCACGCAATATTGAAGATCATAGTCGCTAGCAACATGTAAATTAAAATCTTGGCAGGATTCCCATTTTCTTCAGTCAAATCTTTATTTGGGCCGGACTTAAAAATGAACGTTTTTGTTCAAGTGCACTCGGTGCTTTCAAAATTTGTAACTTTCAATCTAGAGCGAGTAGAGAGTTGCCATTTTCACATCGAATAGAAGACTTTTTGGGGTACCTTTTAAAAGAATTACATTGAAATCGTATTAATTCTAGATTTTTGCGGACTTGGTAAAGATTAGCATAAAAATTCACATGTTTGCTCAAGCGCGCTCGCTGCTTTGAAAATTTGTAACTTTCAATCTAGAGAGAGCAGAGTTGCAATTGTCAGAAACCATAAAAGATATTTCTATCGGCAAACGCTGAGAATTTAGTTAAAATCGCATTTATTTGCATTTTCACTGTCTTAAACTGACAAATACGCAAATCATTCAACAAGAAATTTAAGCAACCTTGACTTTATTGTTCTAAAATACACAGAAACTTGGACAGAAAATTCATGTTACGCCCTTTGCAGACTTATGGAACTCGACTAAAAATGTAAGTAACTTGATCCGGATTGGGAACTGAAATTGTATGGATCGTAAACTATTTAATACTGTGTGTTTATTTAATTTAACCATATCTTATTATCTAAAAACAAGACACATACGGAGCGTCACACTCAGGTGTCCAATGCTTTCATTGCGTAACATTGAAAGTTGCACCGTTATTTTTAAATTTTAAATTTCCTGTCCATTTTCTCTTGTATTTGTATTTCTTTTCTTACTCGATTTAATAAATAATAAACATGCTTGAACAAAATTCTTCATCTTTAGGCAACCATTCCAATTAAATGCCTCTCTCTTTCATGGGCTAAACCGAATCAAAATTAATAAAGTCTGAGATGCTTTTAACCGTTGTTGGTCGGTTCGTAATAATAAAACTGACAGCCGAACTCATCTCACAATCGATGTTTCGACCTCCTCCTATGTATGATGCGAAGCCCCGTTATTTTATACCTCCGATGATTATCCGTGATCGCCATGACCTTTGTGACGTCACATGCTTCAAAACCTTTTTCCGGATGGCCTTGATCATCGGCTTCAATCTTCAGTTTCCTGTTACAGTTCCATTTGTCTTCAGGCCGCTTCGATTGAACAGGTGAAGAAGGCGCTATAGCCTTAAATCGAGCAGTGATTTTTTGTCATTTGGTCAAACCATCAACGGAACGAAAGGACAGTGTTAGATGATAATTGATTAAAGGCCATAAACTACTGAATTTATATTAATTGTCCATCTTAAACGGTAGTAGACAATTTAAGAGTCGCCATAAATTCCTGTTATCTATTAATAAGCCAGAAGTTCGACTATGACGAAAATGTATTTAAAAATCCGAAAAAAATCAACATTCATATACGGTATTTCTGCGACAGATGGCTAAATGGTAGCAAATCTCCAAACGTGAATATTCATATAATATTAACAGCGTTTTGATAAGTAACTTGTTGAATTTCACCTATGAATCCATTTTAATTATAATATACATACATAAATAATGCATTTTGGTTTAATTTCGAAAAAGCTGCTCTTGAGCTAATAGGGCAAGCTAATAAAATGCTATTTTTAGTCTCTTAAAAAATACTACGTGACCGGTAAAGTCCCCGAAATGTTTGGATGGTGGGTTTTAGTACAAAACTAGACTGTTATTCTGTGAAATTGGCCGACGTTTCAACCCTTAATTCGGGGTTTCTGTCGCTTCTTTGATCGCTGAAGATTGTTTAGTGTAACTGGGCAACTAAAGGACTGTAATGGTTTTGTATTCATTTATATTTCATCTGTATTTCCAGCCTTGAGCAAGACCCGAATAAAGGGTGGACACGTTGGCCATTTCTAGGAATAAAAGGGATTTTAATCCAGTTCCAATATACCCAAACAAACTTAGGTATTTAAACCTTATGGCAACTGCGGTAGTTTTTGTACTTTAGTAGGGGATTAATGGGTAGAAAATGGGGGATCGGGCGCCAGCTTGCAGAAAGCTGGTAAGAATGATCTCTACTCTATAAATCTTTTCGCTTGAACTGAGTTTAGTTTTCGGACAAGCAACTGAAGTTTTATGAATTCTTTATATTTTCCCCTTTTTGCTTTACTGATTTCAAATAAGTTTGGCTTTGGACATATTTCCTGCTGTATTAAACGCATTTTCTTCTTTTTTCCAGGTGGCACTACGCAGCTTTCGGTAAGTTTAGCATTACTTTGCCCCTGGTTGTCATGTAGAACGTTTAGTCCGATATTCATCCACTGACTCGTACTCGATTTGGTATCGGTTGAGTTATTGGTTTTTCGCAGTTAATTTTCAAACCTTGGGAATATTTTGGGCGGCTTCGTATTTCTACATCAAGCTCATGTGAAGCTTGTTCCTAAAGAACCGTTTCAGATATGCAAATTTGGGTTCAAGTTTGATGTTTTTTGTTTAAAAAAAGTCAAGATTCTTAGTTTTGCCTGTCTTGACGTTGCTCAAGAACCATTTGAGCCACAGAGTTCGTGCGGCGTAAATTCTGGTAGATTTGTGATAAAAAGTCATACGAAAATCACACAGTTGCACACAGACACTTAGTTTCATTTTTATGCCAATATTTCATTTAGAAAAACATCTTCTACATAATCATCTCATCATCAATCATAGTCAATCTTTCAAGTTTCTACTGGCTTGTAGAGTATTTTTCGTTTCTGAGAAACTAATTTTTGAAAAACTGAATTCAAAATGTGTGCCGCAATAGTTCTTTCTGTGCCGGCGCGTTGGGTTGACGCAACAAGCCATTTCGGCAACACTGTGCCAACTCCTGAAAATTAACTGAGTTGCTCATGCCTCAGACAGGCCAATAAGAACAAAAAAAACCACTAAAAAAATTATGAAATGATTAAAGCATCAAATAAACTCGTTTGATCGAGAAATTAAATTCGGATAATTAAATTGCGTCGATAAATTCGAGCAAATTGGCCGCAACAAATTGTTAATAAAACAATTTTCTGTTACATCTGCAAGAAAGTTCACACGCTCGAAGATATCGGGCACGATAAGGGGGCTTTGTGTTTTATTTTAATCCATTGTTAAACCGTCCATCGGCCAATCGCAACAATCCATCATTAGAACACCAGATTTTTTAAGATTACTTAAGCTCGGGCCAATCACTTGTGTAAGTGCCTTCTTCGGTAATTGGGTAAATTTGATTGATTTCCTTGTACCGATTTATCGACGTGGTTGTTCAATTTTGTGGACATCAACTTTAAATTTGTTTGAGTTCCATTGAGTTTTATGTCAAGGAACATTGAGCAAAATAAAATTGTACTTGCTTACAATTTTGCTTGCTTCTGGCTGTTTAGTTTGGAAGGTATGTGTTGTTCTGGCACATGCCCAGTGTATAAATTTGTAAATTAAACAAAAAGTAATTAGAGTTACGAATTTCTCTACAAAATTAATTGTAGGAAAAAACACAAAACTGTTCATTTTTCCTAAATAATGTAGCATAACAAGTAAAATAAACTGTGTAGAAAAATTAGTTAAGTGCCTCGTAAGAAACGCCATAGTTTTCCCTGGATTTGAATACAGAAACTGTCCATAAAAAATTTTAAACCTACTACTGTTTTTCCTAATGGATCAGCAGGAAGTTGCCCATTTAAAATTACATATTTGCCGAAGGCAAATAGAAGCTTTTAGTGCCAAGTTGTGCAATTTATCAACTCCATATAGGTAAAACGCACATGTTTACATGCATATTTAACTTGCATAATTTTTCATGCCCAATACCTTGTGGTGTGTTTTTGGTTTAATCAACTGCAAAGTTCAATTAACGCGAATCAACAACTCACCTAAAACTTTATAGTCCTCGGTCGAAAGCCTGCATAACAGCAAATTAATTTACATACAGTATGTGCACTAACGACTGAATATCTCATTCAAACACAGAACTTCATCATTCACCTGTGCTGTTTGTGGTTGAATTGGGAAATCAAAGTTAATTCCTGAGCACAACAACAGCAGTGATTTTCTCGGGCACTTTGAATTGCGGTTTTTGTTAAAAATTCATAATTATCACTGGCAGAAGGTTGGTCAGCAACATCACATCGGTGCGTGAGAGGGCCTCGCGAGCTCCAATCCATTCATGAGCATATAAGAATTGTGTATCTCGCGTGTTAAGCCGAAGACTTCGCTCCGTACACTGCTGATCATTTATACATGATGGTGCGAATGGACCGGAGGGGGACACATGACTTACCTCAGATAGCTGGTCAAGCTGGTACCGCATCTTATTCTACCTGAATCTCATTAGAAGGGGATGAAGTGTTTTCCAGGAAATTCCTCAACAATTAAGCGAGTTGAAGCTCTGGCCTGGTTGGAGAAGAATCTTCTACAAAAATTATCAGATACCCTAGAGGAGATAGTTGTGATCGACTGGTGACGTAAAAACGTGTAGGGAGAAGAAAATCCTTGTGGGGAGAATAAATCCAGCTCATTTGTGGCGTGAAAACCGATGATGTTAAACGGCATGACTTGCACTGTCGCTCTTGAGAATAATCTTGGCTGCCATGGCTGGTTATCGGTCGTGTTTTTTTCTCGCGCTTTCCTCAATGAATTCCCGCAACATCAGATGACTCGGCCGAAACTCCAAATCGTTTAAATAAGCATTTGATAATGGGATCACTTTATAAAACAGGGGTTTTTGCTCCTGTGTTTGATTGTGGCGGCCGACGGCTTTGCATTGTCAGGCCGAGGCTTATCTAGTTTGTTACACATCATCACCATCATCGGCCTGTTGTTAATGGTAATTTCGGCTGGGCGATGATTGTAGCCGATATCGTTGATTTGGATTATCATAGGCTTGTGCTAATATTCCCTAGATATAAATTGCCCAATTTTTTTTGCTTAGTCAGGTTTTACTTTTGGATAGTTTTTGTTGCATAATCAAGAGCATTAAGCCTGTTCTGTACTCTTTAAAAAAATTGGAAGGAACTCCTGAGGATTTTTTGAGCGGTCTTTTTATTTACCGCCAATATATTCCTTGATGAGAATCCAGTTCAAAGAAACTGCAGATACTTCGTCACCTGGTGGCAATTGGCATGTTTTTTGATTCAGAAGTTGATACTTACTATACTAGCTATACTGGGGCAGACACCAAATTTTGTAACGTAAAGTTTTTTTTGCTGACGAGCAAGATATAGTTTGTCCAAGAAATTTCGCAGTGACGACATTATATGAGAGGCCCATTGAAATGTGCTCATGTCCAAGGTTGGCGCGAAAGATTTTCTTGTTGTGTTGCTGAGTTTCCAGCTTGGGCGTTTGTTCCCGGGGACTTAAAACTATTTATTTTAGTGGAAATATATATAGGGTGATTCACAACCTTATGGACACAGAGCAGGGACGTGTCGAGGACCTCAAAACAAGTCGAGTTTCCGTTTAAGTTTTTTTTCTCAGCCCCATGGTAGTAAGATACAAGGTTTTAAAGTTTCAAAAAATGTTTGGTATTTTCTCTTTAGCTCCCACAATTTATGATATATTTTGCTCACATTTAGGGGGCTAAAGTTTAGACCCTTTACCCATAGGTAAGGCGACTGATTGTGAAAATCTACAGGTTGTTCTATTTACTAGTGGCATACCCTCTTTTTCTTCTGAATTTTCTGATCTCTTGAAGGTTTTTCGTATATGTCTTCCTTTTCGAGTTATTTGCACAAATATAAGTCCATGCGTTTCTGGGGGATTTTTATAAATTTCTATAAGTTTTTTTATAATTTTTGTTGTCTTCGTTTGCTCACATTCTTCTGTGAAAGCTTCAAGTGCAAGTTGAAGTTAAAATACSGATGGCTGACAAGTTAATTTTAACATTTATTTCTTTGCTTTAATTTAATTTACAATAATTGRGGTTTATCGGCTGTAAGCTAATCCAAATAAAAATACACAAAAATGTAACGAATATTTCAATTTATTATGAAATTAAATCGTTTCACAAAAAATGTGAACGAAAGGACGCAAATAAAGTATAAGAAAATTCATAGAAAATCACCCAGAAAYCCTACATGGACTTATATTTGTGCAAATAACTCGAAAACGAAGACAGATACGAAAAAACTYYAAGAGATCAGAACTCTTGAATGATGATGATCATGATGAATGACCTTGATCAGAARTTGAACAACAAATGCGAAAATTTGTTCGGTCGAAGTCAGTGGCGCACCACAAAAAAGTTCGGTGGGGGTGGGGGGGTAAAAGGRGGTTTGCCTCTAGAAAAAAGCACACCCTGTCGATTTTCACAACAAGTCGCCTTACGGTAAAGGGTCCTTATATTAGCTTACTTTAAAAATTTGAGCAAAATATCTAAACTGTAGGAGTTAAAGAGAAAATACCAAAACATGTTTTTCACCGCTGATAAATTGAACATTCATCATTAGTATTGCTTGAGCTAAGTACGGAAATTAAATTTTTTCGACAAGAAAGTGAACAATATGGCATCTAATTACTCATCCTTATATCAGAACCTCAAATTTGCAAACTGACTTCCAACCTTTGATTAGACCGCTATCCGTTCAACTAATACATTGGGTTTGCCCTTTGTGGACAGAGGAAAAGCTCCTTTGTGCACTTTGAAAATTTGATTTTGATAATCGTGTAGTTTGCTTTTTGGCGAATTTGTAAACCAATTCCCTCATAGTGTTATATAATCTCAAATTTGCAAGCTAACTTTCAAACATTGATTAAACCACCATCCATTAAACGCCAAGAGGTTAAGTTTGCATTTAGTGGAAATAGAAGATCCTTTTACACACCTGGAAATTTTGGCATTGATACTCCGGTAGGATTTTCGCGAATTTTCGAAACTGCCCAATTCACTGATCATTAAAAGAGACTCTAAAATGTACAAGCTAATTTTCAAACCATCATTAAAGTATATATATGTGTTGAACCAAAAGGTTGAGTTTACATTTATGGCAAAGATGAAAACCCCTTTAATGCAGCTGGAGAATTTGGTTTCGTCAAAATCTGCTATTATTTTGAGATTTGATCATCATAGTCAGATCGTCTTCGTTTGAGCCATAGAAGGTCACCAGTATTTTCTTTGATCACTTGCATAGGTACGGGAGATTCATACATTTCCAAAATAATGCCACAAATACTAATAAAATTGCGACATTTAATACCCATTTTCGAGAAAACTTTCATCACCAAAAGAATCTCCTCAAATGATG